TATGACAAACAATTGGAATAATTGCACCAAGATAATTAGGATGAGTGAGTGATTGAGTTTAGTTTTACACCGCTTTTAGCAATATTCCATCAATATCATGGCGGGGGACATCAGAAATGGGCTTCACACATTGTACCCATGTGGAGAATCGAACCCGGGTCTTGATCATGACCTACTCTGAAAAGGTACTCGTTAGGACTGACAAATGTCTTCATGGATGCTGTGAATGCAAAACATTGCCCGAAATAGATGTCATGAGTTTACAGACTTTACTTTAAACATGGATTGTCACCCTGATATCTTACAACTACAGGGAAAACAGTAACACCTGAGGGTGGGCTAACTACAGGTATTTAACTTCAACCTGAGGTACATTGTTCTGAACCTGGAAACATTTCTTGCTGCATATAATTGCTGAGTGTAATGCTTCAAATGGAAGACTACAACTATAATTGGAAGGGATCATATCCAGTCAGGGATATGACTTAGCGTTCACATTGGAATGGATGGGATACAAACCAGAAGTGATGTCATAGTGATATCATCACGATGTCATAGTGATATCATCACGATGTCATAGTGATATCATCGTGATGTCATAGTGATATCATGATGTCATAGTGATATCATCATGATGTCATAGTGATATCATCGCGATGTCATAGTGATATCATCGCAAGATAGTGATATCATCACAATGTCATAGTGATATCATCGCGATGTCATAGTGACCTCATAGTCAACCATAATATAAACTACAGCAGCAAGAAATATTCCTGAGTGTTGTCACAACAACCAAACGCAGGTCTTCTACAGTTTTATGGTTGTCTTATTGATTTTGTTTTGGGAGTACTCTGTGCCCACCAAGCTTATGTGGGATTCAGCAATCAAATGTTAGCAGCGTTCGAAATACCTGCCTGTCTGACCACCCTGGGACAGGTTATTTTCAACACATACTGCCAGATTCTAATATTCACCAGCCCGACGGTCGAGTTAAAATTTAGACATGTATATGAAGATATTCATCATATTTCAGGATAATAAATCATTATTAATTCACTCGTAAAAAAAATGATGAATTCCAATTGGATGATAAACTACGTCGCTTGTCAAACCTAAATTATTTGCGGGCAGGTAAGTCAATCTTGTTTTTGTCTTTGAGATGATGTGTCTGTGAAGAGGTGGCAGAGGCATCCTTATTGTTGGGAACATTCCATCTTGTGAGGTATCTGAACACTAGATCTGAAGGAACTATGACAGCTCTGTCCTTCAATGTTAGTTGATCCATTGATAGATGCAGATGATCTCTGGATGTAAGATCCTGCACAGAAGTGAGAGCATAGTAGCAAACTCCTCTAGGAATAAACTAGGCCTCACCCAGTGTTACATATTTCTCCAATAAATTTCTGCACTTTCTTGGGTTGAAGCTTTGACTTTTCCAGATGAACCAGGAACCCCATATTCCCAACCCCACATACTCATCATGCAGGTCTAAAGAGATAATAGAATCCCCTGTAGAGACCACGCAGGTCTATAGAGATCATAGAATCTCCTATACAGATCATTTGTCTGACATTCTGTATCAAATCCAGCCAAAACTTGGGAGGTCGTCTCAGGTATTCCCGACTGTGGATCTTCAGATTGATTATCATCCTGAGGTCAGTTGAATTCTTCTTGGAGAGATGAAATAACAAAGAGAAGAACCCTGGTCCAAGCCAGGATCAGACTCGATGAGAACCCTCTTGTCCTCGAGCTTGTCTGTGGCTGTCATCAACGATGAAAACTTTCATTCGAGGAGCTGATACTGATGTTGTACTGGGTGTGACATCAAAGGGAGCCTCTTGGCAAAGAACTTCCACAGATCCCCTGATTGTTCTTTATGATCTTCCAGTCTTGAGATAGTGCTGTAATTCGATCTGCTAGACCTTTTATCAAATCTCGTAAAGGTTTCAGTGGCACCAACAAAGCTTCCCACGTAACATACTTGGGTTGAACAGCCAGAGGGGTCAACTGATAAGACATGCCTGGACAGGAAGGATGCCTAGCTCCCCGAGACCGACTGATTGTCAATCATCGTGTCAATGCAGCTTTATCATCAACATTTTTCTACTTTTTTTTAACGACCACAGCATACTTCTCAAAAGCTGACTGAGATAGCGACTGAAGAGCCTCACAACAGGCAACAAAAGAGCAGGGAGCATGAGCACACACTCGCCAATCTCAATGCGGATCCTGAAGGCAGAACTATTTCTTGTGACTGAGGGGTAGGACGAAATGTATTTAGAGCTCTTAGATTTACCCATAATAACCAAAAAGAAGCCAAACCTTAGAAACATAAGTTGACAAAAATGTTCAGAAATTGTGGCAACAGGGAAAATAGGAGGTTTCACACAATTCTGTTCAGGGAGATAACTCTGTGGATAGCACTTGGAGGACCACTAGGAAGAAAAACAACACAAAACCAAGGACTTAAATGTTTTTGTTGAAGCTAAACCTGTGGATTCAGCAACAAGTTTCAGGAAAAAGGCAGTCAAGTTTGAATTCATAAGAATTTCATATTTCAGGTCTTTGTCTGGACCTGCCAAGTGCTAGGTCTGCAGCAAATGTTATTAAAAATACCATGATTGGAATCACAAATTCCAGTTCATGTTATACATTCAAGGCAAATATTATGGCTTTGGTCAAGTAGCTTGTGACTCACAGCCGATTTAAGCAAACTAACAGTGTTTTCCACATTGCCTACCAAGGTCATTTAGCTACAAATTGTGGATAAATTCCTGACTTCACACAATCATCCTTGTTTACATAAAACACTGACTTGCTCTATATATGCACAACAACAACACTGATTGAGTCCATATCTCTGAAAAACATAAGTCATTAATTCTATAAACCGTAACTTGATCTCATAAATCTTTGGGCATGATGTGATTTTTCTACTATAAAAACCTGCAAAAATTCACTGAATTTTTACAGATAGTTTTCCTATTCTACTTACTAGACAGAGAGAATAATGAACACAAGGACAATTGGATTGTCAAATGGCGCCAGCGACTAACGACATCCATTCTAGTATTCCCACCTCCACGTAGGATGTAGCATCGCATTTAAAAAATCTTTGAAAATATTCAAAAACAACATTTTAAAGACAACAGCTTGAGCATTCATAATGGTAACATCCTTTGATGTCAAACATGAAAGAATATAAAATAACATGTTCAACAGAGATATACATTGCCAACAGTACATATACTCAGCTATATAAAATAGTTTACACACTCGCATGAAACTGCTCACAGATACAGATACTCCACGTTGCACCACAATGAGCGAAGTTAAATCAAATGTGACACATAAAACATAATATACATGCAATATAAATGCATGCACAGAAAATAAGGTGAGTTTATAATTGGACTTGGGTTCAGTTTAAGTCATTGCATGTCTATCGAATAATCCATTTCATCGAGTGTATACCTTCTTTGGTTGAGTATATATACTTAAGTACTGTCGGAAATAGAAAAAAACTGTTTTTAGGCTGTTACTCTGTATCACTAAAATTTACACAATTGCAAATAGCATATGTCGAAATAACCCACATTGACCTAACTGGGCGTTCAATGGGATGCGTATTAGCATATCCAGAAAAGCATGTTTACTCGTAAAATCGGGCAAAACTTAGAAAACAATACGAATAGCTGCTAAAAAACAATAGATCAGGCTATAGAAGGCAATTAGGTCGCTCAGCCAGGTATGACGACGGACCGTCGACTCACATGGCATGAAATGCATGTACTGCCCACAGGCACAAGGGGTCATCTCAAAGATATTTTATGTTTTTTCATGTGTATTGAATATGTCTCTATTTATTATCTTATCTTAGCTAATATCTGAGTTCACCCCAACCACCGTCTGCGACACCCGTCCTGGTTTTGCTTTTGAGACGACCCCTCCTACCTGTACCTTTTATAGTGATAGTGAGACGCCATGGCAGCTACATCCTTATTAGTTTCAGTATTAAAGCTACTATTTTTTACGTCTGCTATCGTATATAACGAAGCTAAGTCTAATTTCAAAATGATCATTTAAAAAGTGTTCTTTTGTAATACAATATCATTGCACACTAATTTGCATAAGGCCATGGTCTGTTCTGGATAAGTCGCAATGGACTTAGAAAAAACCTGCATTGCTCATTTTTGCACTAATCTCTCCTCAGTAAAATCCTTCTTTTACGTTTCCTATCTCTCTCCCACTGCGACTGTAGTTAGGCCGAACTTAGTTTAACAGATATTTCACACTTTCACATATTAACTACCTAAATTGTAGATACAAATGTGAAAAAACTTTTTTTTTCTATTTCCGACAGTACTTTAACATAACATTACAAAGAATTGAACACCTGTTTTCTCTCTTTTAGACCAGACCAAATATGTTTCTTGTTTTACAGATTTTTGTTAAATAAAAAAAAATCACCAGTCAAAGCAAAACCCACATGAGTCTCCATCTTAATGCTTTCGGTTTGTTTATATCAACTAAAAATAACTTGAGTGAGTTTAGGTTTCACACAGATTTCAAAAGCATTTCACTTATACCACCTATTGACTATTTTATTTTTATATGTACTGAATAGAACTCCCTTAGATTAAAATACTTGCCATATGCATATCAGAAACAACCAAACTACTATAAATTTAAGTCCCTGTTATCAACAAATAATGAAACACTTGTCATGAATAAAAAAAAAAATAAAAAAAAAAAAAAAAAAAAATTTAAAAAAAATATTTAAAAAATAATGAAACACTTTTAAGAAATTTATGTAGATATATCTTTCATGCTAATGAAATCAGAGCAATCAAACTCCAATAAATTTTCTTTAAACCACATATTTGTCAGTTATAACCGTTTACAAAGGTGTGTATATATATTTATATTACAATAACCAAAGTATACTTAACGGAAAAACAAGGAAAACAGTATATTCAACACAATGGCTATTATACCTAGGATCTTGGTAGAATATTTCTCCTGTCATGTGATGCTGGGAGATCCACTCCGCCTTGTTGATGTCGACCAATGAGATTTCTCGGATGCTGCGAGTTCGGTGGATGCGACACACCGACACTAGCCACTTCTCATTGAGATTGTCTGAAAGGAAAGGTGCGGATAAGAATGACTTCTGTCACTGCAGTTCTCATAATAAAATAACTGATAACGAGAAGCATGTACTTACTCACCTCACTGTTTGCGGACACCTGATTGATGTCTTAGCCATGTCTTTTTAATGCAACCAACTGGTTCTTAAAGAGTCATCCAGTCTGTTTCAACATCTTGTTGTTAGCCTATTGATGGCATCAGTTCAATAATCCATCAGCTTATCAATCTGTTGTTTTTCATCATCTCTTCTCTAGAGCATGTGAACCATCCATCAGTTTGATACAGAAACTCATTACACTTGCCATCCATCAACAAACTCTTCAAACTATCTGAACATCATTCCATTCATCATTCGACCCATAAACAGATCATTCACTCTGTCCTTTAGCCCACACACATTAGTCTTTCACTCTGTCCTTTAGCCCACACACATTAGTCTTTCACTCTGTCCTTTAGCCCACACACATTAGTCATTCACTCTGTCCTTTAGCCCACACACATTAGTCTTTCACTCTGTCCTTTAGCCCACACACATTAGTCTTTCACTCTGTCCTTTAGCCCACACACATTAGTCTTTCACTCTGTCCTTTAGCCCACACACATTAGTCTTTCACTCTGTCCTTTAGCCCACACACATTAGTCTTTCACTCTGTCCACATTTTAGTCCCCACACATTAGTCTTTCACTCTGTCCTTTAGCTGTCCCACACATTAGTCTCTGTCCTTTAGCCCACACACATTAGTCATTCACTCTGTCCTTTAGCCCACACATTAGTCTTTCACTCTGTCCTTTCACATTAGTCTTTCAGTCCTTTAGCCCACACACATTAGTCATTCACTCTGTCCTTTAGTCATTCACTCTGTCCCCACACATTAGTCATTCACTCTGTCCTTTAGCCCACACACATTAGTCATTTTAGCCCACACATATTAGTCATTCACTCTGTCCTTTAGCCCACACACATTAGTCATTCACTCTGTCCTTTAGCCCACACATATTAGTCATTCACTCTGTCCTTTAGCCCACACACATTAGTCATTCACTCTGTCCTTTAGCCCACACACATTAGTCTTTCACTCTGTCCTTTAGCCCACACACATTAGTCATTCACTCTGTCCTTTAGCCCACACACATTAGTCATTCACTCTGTCCTTTAGCCCACACACATTAGTCTTTCACTCACATTAGTCATTCACTCTGTCCTTTAGCCCACACACATTAGTCACACTCTGTCCTTTAGCCCACACACATTAGTCTTTCACTCTGTCCTTTAGCCCACACACATTAGTCTTTCACTCTGTCCTTTAGCCCACACACATTAGTCTTTCACTCTGTCCTTTAGCCCACACACATTAGTCTTTCACTCTGTCCTTTAGCCCACACACATTAGTCTTTCACTCTGTCCTTTAGCCCACACACATTAGTCTTTCACTCTGTCCTTTAGCCCACACACATTAGTCTTTCATTCTGTCCTTTAGCCCACACACATTAGTCTGTCTTTTCATCCATACACCATTTGGTCCAGACACCATCCATCCTATCCCTACACTATTCCATCCAAACACCAGCCTATCCCTACACTATTCCATCCTCACACCCTCCATCCATCACACCATCCATCCAAACACCATCCATCCACACACCATTTCATCCCAACACCATCCATCCACACACCATCCACACCATCCATCCACACACCATCCATCCACACACCATTCCATCCAAACACCATTCCATCCACACACCATCCATCCACACACACAATATCCATCCAAACACCATTCCATCCACACAATATCCATCCATGCACCATTCCATCCACGCACCATCCATCCACACACTAGCCTTTCTACACACCAGCCTTTCCACACAACAGTACATCCATTCACTAGCCAACCAACACATCAAACCATCCAACGATCCAGCAGTTTAACTACAAAACAGAACATCTACCCTTAAATCCATGTTTGTCACATTCCCTTAACCCAGCAATATATCCAGCATTCAGTTCATACCTGACAACCTTGACCTTGAAAGTAACGAGAACTGCTGTAGGTTTCCGATCAACTGGACATAGGAATATTCTGACGATGCTGTATTAGCTATATTCAGATTCAGCATACGTAGATACACCGAACGATAGCCTGATTGACCATATCTATCTGCAAAACAAAACCATTACAATTCAGTTAATGTCATGCTTGCCTAAACATCTGAACACAATGAACAATTCATATCCCCCTTACAGTAAATCACTGTTTGGCGTATCTGTGGTAACTGAAAGGGGTTTGGGGGTCTGCATCGCTGCATCCTGACTACCTGGATGAAGGGTATTGTGGCGCTTTCAGATGACAGGGCACGCAAAGTATGACTGTAACCACGGCGCATGAGACATAAGCCTCTGTAATGACAATACAAGAAAGGTACAACTTAGTAACAACAAGGCAAACGAAGTATGCCTCTGTAACACAAGAGTCATCAGAAGATGACAAATCCCCCCGGCCCCTACATATTTGAAAGAACAAGTCATCAGACAGTTACTTAAAGTCCAACGTATTTTAGACTAAGTCCAAATCGTTTATATGGAAATCATGAAAAATATGAATGCCAAATGTGTGTAGATAGCAAAAGCCCCCACTTTGGGATCTGCCTCATATATCAGCCAAGTTTTGTTGAAAGATATTGAAAGATTATCGAGTTCTGCTCCAGAAACGAAGCCCACCTCTCCCTTTTTAGTCCAACACGTTTCCATGGAAACCCAGAAAAATAAAAGTGACAAAAATCTGTAAATAGCAAAAGGCACCACTTTAGGTTCTGTTTGATATATGTACCAATTTGTGTTAAAAAATATTGAACGGTTTTTGAGTTATACTCCGGAAACAAAATGATTACAGACGATTACATGCTGGGGGAATAAAAAGGGAATGGAAGGTACCCCCTCTGTAACAACAGACATGCAAGGTATGCCTCTGTAATGACAAGGTATGTAAGGTACACCTTGGTAACCATATCTGCAAGAACAGACTTGCAAGGGATGGCTCTTCCTCTGTAATAACAAGGTATGCAAAGTATGGCTCTGTACACTGTGAAGAAGGGACGGTCTAGGTAGAGTGTGAAGACAGGGCATGTAAAATACTGTGTGAAAACAGGGCATGTAAAAAACGAAGACAAAGTCATCAATATCCCCCGCAATGGCAAAATATTCTTCATGATTATGTCTACGAGTTATGATTATGTCACATATTTAGGTGTGTATATAGAAAAGTGGAAGGAGAGTAATGAAAGGTTTTTAAAGTTCTGCTCCAGAAAGGAGCACTACCACCAATTTCAGTCTATGTCAAACTTGTTGCCATGGAAATGCCAAAAATATTTTATTCAGAAATCCAAAACTACCAAAAGGCACCAGTACACCACCAGATCTATCTATGTGCCAAGTTTGGTGAAGAAATAGTGAACGGTTTTAGAGTTCTGCTCCGGAAAAGAGCACTACCACCAATTTCAGGCTAAGTCAAACTTGTTGCCATGGAAATGCCAAAAATATTTTATTCAGAATTCCAAAACCACCAAAAGGCACCAGTACACCACCAGATCTATCTATGTGCCAAGTTTGGTGAAGAAATAGTGAACGGTTTTAGAGTTCTGCTCCGGAAAAGTGTACTACCACCAATTTCAGGCTAAGCCAAACTTGTTGCCAAGGAAACCCCAAAAATATTTTATTCAGAATTCCAAACTACCAAAAGGCACCAGTACACCACCAGATCTATCTATGTGCCAAGTTTGGTGAAGAAATATTGAACGGTTTTAGAGTTCTGCTCAGGAAAAGAGCACTACCACTAATTTCATTCTAAGTCGAACTTGTTGCCATGGAAATGCCAAAAAAAATTTATTCAGAATTCCAAAACTACCAAAAGGCACCAGTACACCACCAGGTCTATCTATGTGCCAAGTTTGGTGAAGAAATAGTGAACGGTTTTAGAATTCTGCTCCGGAAAAGACAAATGTGCACTGACGGACGGACGGACGCACGGACGCACGCACGGACGGACGCACGCACGGACAGAGTCCATTTTAATACCCCCCGCAAAACGGGTTGCGTGGGATAATAAAGTGTGAAGACAGGGCATGTAAAATAGAGTGTGAAGACAGGGCATGTAAAATACAATGTGAAGACAGGGCATGTAAAATAGTGTGTGAAGACAGGGCACGTAAAATGGAGTGTGACGACAGGGCATGTAAAATAAGTGTGAAGACAGGGCATGTAAAATACAGTGTGAAGACAGGGCACGTGAAATACAGTGTGAAGACAGGGCACGTGAAATACAGTGTGAAGACAGGGCACGTAAAATAGAGTGTGAAGACAGGGCATGTAAAATAGAGTGTGAAGACAGGGCATGCAAGACAGAATGTGAAGAGAAGGCATGCTATGAACCTCTCTATCACAACAAGATTGTACACCAGGTACCATGTACAACGATCATCTTATTTGTTCTATGGGTGCTGGAATCTGTACTGTATTTTTGTAACAATAATTAATCATCTCAATCCCTTCATGGATCAGAATCATGACAATAAGACGAATGGAAACTCTGACATTGGCCTTATAACAGCAATGCTTTGATGTCTTCAGCACAGTCCATCAAAGAAACACATTACAAAAGGCAGTGGTAATTCTAAGTTTGATCAAAGTTGGGAGAAAAAGTACATGTTGCTTCTTGTTAAAGTACTCAACCTAATCCACCGAATCCTTATCTTTAACAAATACTTTAGCTTTATAAAACACAGGAGAAGCAACTGATACATATCATATTCAGCAAACCAAAATCTGTGAAGCTCTGATTATCTTTGTGAAGTTCTGACATTGGTAATTCAGCCATGGGCCACTGATCACTGCCTCATTAGGAACAGAGTACAAAGGATTAACACAGGGCCCATTCTCTGTGTTGTAGCGGTAGAAGAAACAACACATCGGCAAATTGTCTTGTGCTTATCTTCATCCGATAACCAAACACCTTAACCCACCCAGTCCCTATCCATCTTTCTCTCTTTTCTCTTTTATCCCCTTGCTCTGTTTGCCCCCTTAACCCCGACCCGTGAAGCCGGGTTAGAATTGGTCTTCTGCAACCCATGTTTGTCATAAAACGATTGTCTGGTCCAGACTCGATCATTTACAGACCACCGCCATAAAGCTTGAATATTGCTGAGTGCAGCATTAAACAACAAACAAACAAACCCTAACCTGCCCCTCCGTTCAGTGTGCCAAATAGTTTCTAAATTTTGCTTGCCAGTTGGGCTAGTTACTAGCCCACAGGGGCGGTGGGGTAGCCTAGTGGTTAAAGCGTTGGCTCGTCACGCCGAAGACCCGGGTTCGAATCCCCACATGGGTACAATGTGTTAAGCCCATTTCTGGTGTCCCCCGCCGTGATGTTGCTGGAATATTGCTAAAAGCGGCTCAGTCAGTCAGTACTAGCCCACAAAATTATTCACTAGCCTGAAATTTGAATGTAGACATGGGTTTCATCTTTATGCTGCTAATATGATGAACATTTTCAGCAAGCCATAATCTTGCATGATTTAAAAGAGTATTATAACTTAACAAGTCGGACAGAGTGATATATTTTACAAAATGACCCCAAGAAAATTCACTAGCCAGTCGGGCCAGTGACTGTGGAGATTTACTGGCCCGACTGGATTTTTACTAGCCACGGGCTAGCGGGCCAGTGGCAATTTCGCACACTGCCTCCGTCATCCCTCCTCCTAGTATTTCCCACCCTCTGTCAGCCACACCCTCACACTATTAAGTGACCTTTCAGAGACATCCCCAGAGACACCTCCCCTTTCTACCTTTCAATAATTATTTCATCTGAAGAATAGCATGCCTTACCTGATGAACAAAATGGTAGGAACTGTGCATTGAATACTTGATGATCTTGTGGGTGTAGGATTTGATACACTGACCTCCCAATCAGCTGGGACTGTGGACACAATGGAAGAAGATTATAATTCATGGCATATCAGATGACAGCAGGACGAATAATTACAGGTTATACACCTTTACCACCTTGGTGGAACCCTCTACCATGGAAGTGTCAGTGAGGTAGCCTGGTGAATAAAGTGCTTGCTTGTCACGCCAATGCGAGTGGGCTAGTAACTTGCTTTGGCGTGACAAGCAAGCGAGTGACTTTAGTTTTACGCCACATTCAGCAACATTCCAGCTATATGTCTGTAAATAATCGAGTCTGGACCAGACAATCCAGTGATCAACAGCATGAGCACTGATCTACACAATTGGGATGCGATGACATGTTTCAACCAAGTCAGCAACCAACCACCCAATCCCATTAGTTGCGTCTTACAACAAACATTAGATCAATTCTAACCGATTCCCCACAGGGGTAAAATAAGTGAAACCCATTTGTGTCATCAACCGCAGTGATTTTGCTGAAACATTGCTGAAAGCAGCGTAAAACTAAACTCATTCACTACCATTATATCACGTTTTACTCTGATCAGATACTCCTCTACAAGAAAATCTGACAACACCTCCAAAATGGTTATATCGGGTGAAGTTTCTCATCAGACAATCAGTGTTGAAATTTTCAACGTGCATAAGCTAAACATTCAACCCGGCACAGCTGTTCTCAGTATCTCAAAAATCAACTTACAACCCTGTTCCTAGCAACTTAAATCATAAAGGTTATGCCGAAACACAAACAGGTAGAAATGGTGATAACATTAATTGATCTCGATAGTTACAAACAACTTGATATCAGATAACAGAAATCATGTTGTCCTAGCCTATAAACCCAAAAGGAATAATTACCCTTTTGGAAACAGGCAAACACTGAAGAGTCGCTGTCTGTTACTCACTGTCGAGGGGTCAAGTCTGGACAGAACATCACTCAGACAGCCACAGAAGCCTTCTGGGCAACATGAGCTACTGCTGCTCTACAGAATGTTTTTAACACATTTGCAATCAGTAACTATTTACGGCCATGTCTTGAGTTAAGGTGTTGGGCACCAAATAAGCATCTGTCGTGTCGAGAATAAGGTGTGACTAACAATGATGCTTTGTCGTATGCGTTAAGTGACTTATGGGTCTGACACTTGGTAGTACGAGGAGGGTCGGTCTTAAGGCATATGGGTCTGACACTTGGTAGTACGAGGAGGGTCGGTCTTAAGGCATATAGGTATGACACTTGGTAGTACGAGGAGGGTCGGTCTTAAGGCATATAGGTATGACACTTGGTAGTACAAGGAGGGTTGGTCTTAAGGCATATAGGTATGACACTTGGTAATGCGAGGAAGGTCGGTCTTAAGGCATATAGGTATGACACTTGGTAGTACGAGGAGAGTCGGTCTTAAGGCATATAGGTATGACACTTGGTAGTACGAGGAGAGTCTCCAGTGGTGTTTGGGGGAAATGGACTACTGTATAAATAAGTATTTAACTAGTCTGTAAGATTGTATTTGCACAAGACAGACTGAAGATTTCCACAAATAGTTCATTTTCGGTTTGTATTACCCATGGACACACAGAATATGTTTTATAAGATTGTCACAGCTAGTATTGCAGAAGAGCCAAAGAACTGGAGTTTACTTTTATCAATGTAACCAATCATGGTCACAATCCTAAGTTTGTAATAGTGGATTGAGGTCCCTGCAGAGTGCAGACAAAGAACTGCTGTGTGTTTTCTAGCAAACAAAGTTGCTGCCCTTTAATGTCAAACAATAGTTCACAGCCATAAAAACTGGTTTTCAGAATCACTCTTTGCTATATTTTAACACTGGTAGCTGGATGTAGGTCAGTATTATTTAGTCCCAAGCATTTAAGTGAATTAACACTCTGTCTTGCTTTCTGACAACAATTCAATTCAAGATTTACATGTTAAATCAAAGTTAAGAAGTATACTGCCATAAGTAGTGGAATCTTTACGTTTACTTTTATTAAAATTGATGACTGTAGTTTTTGCAGGATTGTAAATTAAGCACCATTTATTGGCATATAACACTCAGACCATACACACTTAGGCCATTACTAGCCTAGCTCAGAGAAGAAACCAAATCATTGATAAACGCTAAGAAGAACCAGGACGACATGACTCTGCCTTGACCCACTCCTTGTTTAATAGGATACCTGTCAGAGTTTTCACCCATATAACTTACAAAAGCGTAACTATTTCTATAACTATAGTGCAGTAGTTTCCAGATGTTTCCCTGCTCAGTTGAAACATGAAACAGACCATCGTGCCATATTCTGTCAAATACTTTTTAATATCTAGAAATGCAGCTTATACTGAAGAGTTTCTCTCAGTGTAATATCTGATACTTTTTCAATTGAGGGAATCAATGAAAAATATGGAATTATGTGAATCAATATAAAAACTGAATGACGTGAGTGAGTGAGTATGGTTTTACGCCGCTTTTAGCAATATTCCAGCAATATTACGTCAGGGGACACCACAAATGGTCTTCACACATTAAACCCATGTGGGGAATCGAACCCGAGCCTTCAGTGGGACAAGCGGACGATTTAAACATTAAGCTTCCCCACCACCCTCTGAATGATGTGAACCGATGATAAATATTGTCTCTGCATTAAGAATCAATGAAACAGACTAGGGGTGGGTGATAATACTGGTTAACCGGTATATTGCAATTCAGACCATCGTGCCATATTCTGTCAAATACTTTTTAACATCTAAAAATGCAGCATATACTGAAGAGTTTCCCTTCGTGTAATATCTGATACTTTTGATAAGAGCAAAATGCTCATAATATATAACTGCCCCATGTTCCTTTTTAAATCCAAATATCAGTATATCACTAATTGACTGACTAAGTTTGGTTTTACGCCGCTTTTAGCAATATTCGAGCAACATCATGGTGGGGGACACCAGAAATGGGCTTCACACATTGTACCCATGTGGGGATTCGAACCCAGGTCTTCGGAGTGACGAGCCAACACTTTAACCACTAGGCTACCCCACCACCCCTGAAGATAAGAGGTTCATTGGGGATCTCATATTAAGGTACATGTTCCTTTCTAAATCCAAATATCAGTATATCAGGGAAGTAAGGACTATTTTCAAGTAATTCAGTTACTATTCATTTAAATAATAGCTTCTCAAATAGTTATATAAGGCATGACGTCAGAGTAATTCCAATATGGTGTCAGGGATCTGATATTTTCTTTTACCTTCTTAAATTGGAATGACCATACCAAGTCTACAGTTAAAGGGCACATAGCGAAATGTAATCATTTTGTTAAACAGGTGACAAAGGTGTGTAATGAGACACTGAACAAGCCTCCAGATACCGTTTAGGAAGGCATCTCAATATACTTCCAGTGTGAAAACCATACCTGTAGTCAGGAAAAACATGTCAAACAGAAAGTTCAACACATCAACCTGCAACTAAATTAAAGGTTAGAAGCACTTCTGATCACTTCTGATGTCACTTCCATTTTTCTCCCGCCGTGATGTTGCTGGAATATTGTTAAAAGCGGCGTAAAACCAAACTCAGTCAGTCAGTCCATTTTTCTTATTAACCCTAACCTTGACCTTTGACAAATATTCACCAAAACCATTCAAAATGAGGTCTCAAAACATGATAAGATAACAGTTCCAAGTTAGAATAATTTTAAAGGCTTTAGAAAATAAGAAAGTAAAACTATGAATTGTCTGTCCTGTGACCTTGACCTTTGACCTTCAAATAGCATCTGGCAAATTATTCTCATTTGGAAGGTCATTTGGGAGAACAATGAGAAAGTAATCCCAGCATCGATAAAATTCCCACCAATTAGACCTTGAGACCAAAACAAAAGTATTGGAACCACAATTGCAATGAACAAAAGAAAACATACTTTCACCAAATATACAGCAAAATCATCTGTTTGAACATAAATGATGTCCTCTATCTGTTACCATAATGAGGCTTGTGATAGATTGTATCTTATCCACATAGTCTAAAAATAAAGAATTCTTTATCCACAATATAATTGTGAGTGTATGACCTAGACACTGACTTTGACCTTCAAGCATTTCCAAAACATTCCATAGCGCTATCCAAAACATGAAACAAAATTGATGTTTTAGAGTTTAACTTAAAGCAAATAAGTGCAGCAAAAACATTTCTATGATTATAAGAGCCTCCACTAAAAACAGAGACCGTTGTATATACCATGGTATATAATGATGATAATGATGATGTGTACTGCTATAGCGCTAAATTCCATACACCAAGTGCATGCTCAAAGTGCATACAAATTAAAGATCATAAGATAGTCTGAAAAGATAAGTCTTCAGCTGAGTTCTGAATGAAACTATCAAATAATGTTTATACAAGGTGTTGATGAAAAGGTGATACTATCCTTCTGGTCATAAACACATCAAAAGGCAACTTAATAATTCACTCGACAAGACACAAGAACATAGGGATAAAAATGAGGGAATTGCATTGGACATCATTCTCGGCGCTGAGTCAAATTTCGGAAATATCTATGGTCTGTTAAAACATTTTGATATCTATGCCGAAGCCTTGATGTATATCCCATCGCTAAGAGACATTTAAACTCCATTAAAGTGTAAATAAAACCTACCTGATTATGACCAAGGACAGTTGTGATCTCAGTCGATGTGAAAACAATAGTGCCATTTTGTGAGACAAGAAGAAAAAATCCATCCACGATCTGAAATTCAAACAGAAACAGGAATCAATACCTATATCGTTGCCATGGATATCTTGTGGCATTTATTGGCAAAAATCAGAACCTTTTCTTTGTAATGCATGTAGAGTCAATAAACTCCCTTCAGGGAGAGTCCAGCTGAGGGTTTCCAGTGTGGCATAAAGAATGGTCCAGAATGTAACATCAAACTGCATGATGAAATTAGAATCTTCCAACTTGACAGCTGGTCTTACCCTTGTTGTTAACCTAATTGTTACCCTTATGGGTTTTTAACCGCCTCCGTGGTGTAGTGGTTAGAGCGTCCACCCGGAGAGCGGAAGGTCGCGGGTTCGATCCCAGACCGCGTCATACCAAAAGACGTTAAAATATGGTACTTGTTGGTCCCTGCCTGGCGCTCGGCATTAATGGGTACAACAAGGACTGGTCGGCTCGGAGTCAGTATAATGTGTCTGAGTGGGGTATTCATGCTTCACCGCGGCATGGTATCTCAGTGGGCTAGCACTATAAAACCAGCTTCAGTCTGGGCTAGTACAAGCAGCCGCACATACACATACACACACATGCACGTCGTCATATGAGCGAAATATTCTCAAGCACGACGATAAACCCAATTTCACCTCACCTTATGGGTTTTGATTGATTGACTTTAATACCCTGCAATATTCCAGCTATATGGTAGCCATCTGTAAATAATCAAGTCTGGACCAGACAATACAGTGATCAACAGCATGAGCATCGATCTATGCAATTGGGATACGATGACATGTGTCAACCAAGTCAGCAAGCCTGACCCCTCGATCCTGTTAGTCACCTCTTATGACAAGCATGGGTTACTGAAGATCAATTCTAACCTGCATCTTCACAGGTTATCCTCATGGGGTCCTGTTGATGCTGGTTGTGTGTGATGAGGAATTTGTCTCAGAACTAAATCATAGCACGCTAACCCCCAAACCCTAATTTCTGATAACATTTGCTTGCACAAAGAAAATCATTTACCAAACATGCTGGTGTAATATCGGTTCCTCCATAGTGATTTGCATGTTTTACACCTACTAAACATTAACATTATATGTTGCTGAGTTTTTTTTCAAATAACGCCTTTCTTAATCTGTGTACAGCTGCAAGGTTCTAAATGAATACACACAATTTATATAATCAGCATACCTCGTGGAGCAATCTCCCACGGTTTTCACGACTGAAGAAAGACGGGCACCAGTCATTAAGCTGTGATTTCATCTTCTTCAAACCTAAATTAAAAATAGGATACATTAGACATAGCTACACAACAACATATAAATATAAACACAATATCTTATAATCTAGGAGCTATTTTCAGAAAGTTCATCACACAAAAGTACTGTCTGGTTTTATCTATAATTTAGTTTTAGGGGCTGACCATCTTCTATTTCTGCAGTGTAGGAGAAATTTAGTGTAGAGATTTGATACATGTTTTTATATTCATTAATTTCAGACTCTGTGAATCAGTTTCACGACTGAGAGAAGCGAATTAGCGATAATGACTGAGTGAAATATGAAAACTGCTTTTGAAATGTGAACAGATGATAAAAGCAGAGAGATCTGGCTCCGATTTCTAGACAAAACAATGAAGATTGTTTTAATCATTTGAGGGAATCAATGAAAAATATGGAATGATGTGAATCAATATAAAAACTGAATGACGTGAGTGAGTGAGTATGGTTTTACGCCGCTTTTAGCAATATTCCAGCAATATCACAGCGGGGGACACCAGAAATGGTAGTCACACATTAAACCTATGTGGGAAATCAAACCCGGGCCTTCAGTGTGACAAGCGGACGATTTAAACATTAAGCTTCCCCACCACCCTCTGAATGACGTAAACCGATGATAAATATTGTTTCTGCATTATGAATCAATGACACAGACAAGGGGTGGGCGATAATACTGGTTAACCGGTATATTGCAATTCAAACTTTATAATACCATATATTGCGGTACACTTTATGTGAACCGGTTCACCCGATACAATCGGCAATTTCCGCGACCATGATCGGTAATTTTCGGGATGTACCAGTAGTGAAAAATACTAAAAACATTTGTATTTCCTTTATGTTATCATACATTAATAGTTTTGAGAATGTTTATTGGTCATATAATTGCATTTGCATGACTTTTAAACCATATAAATAAAAAAATAGCTTGGTACCGGCACTCGTTGTAGGAATAAACAGACCAAAATGGCGGATGCCGCTGCAGACGATTTTTCTCGAGTTCCAAACTTTAGAACAAAGTCTTCAATTTGGAAACATTTTCAGTTGATCTCTGGTACAATCACATCTGAGTCATGACAATGGCCAAAATTAAGGAAACAATAATTTCATTACCTTAACCCATGTGTTACACTTTCACAATATATTGCTATACATATTGCAATACGTCAACACATATTGCAATATATGGCAATGCAAAAAGTTTGGCAATACCCAACCATAATACAGACAGAGGGAACTGAATCAATGATAAATTATGTCTTTGGAATTTAATTCAATGATCAAAAACTAACAGAATTCAATCAATGATACAGAGGGAAATAAATCAATGATAAATTATGTCTTTGGAATTTAATTCAATGATCAAAAACTAACAGAATTCAATCAATGATACAGTCTGGGTGAAATAAATCAATGATAAATTATGTCTTTGAAATTTAATTCAATACTCAAAAACTAACAGAATTCAATCAATGATACAGGCTGGGTGAAGAATGAATCGATGATAAAACTGAGCGAAGTGAATCAATGATAAATTCTGTCTTACAAATATAAATCAATGATAAAGTCTGTCTTACAAATATAAATCAATGATAAAGACTAAAATATGTGCACCTTTGACAGAGACTCAATGGTAATAATCAATGATATTGGCTAGTGAGGTTGAGGTGCCTGGATCGAGCCCACCTGTGACCGGGTGTAATAACCTTGGAGTCAACTTTGTGTGCAGACTCTTTCAGTGTTGTCACAACCCCTAGTGTACAGAACACAACCCTGTGCACTTTAAAAAACCCACGAATCCGTTGGTAATTGACCAGATGGTGGCCACATGAATACGTGCAAACACCTAGTTGCAGGTACACCAACATGTAGTTAAACTTGGACAAAGTACTGTGACGGTCTACTCCCATTTGTGAGAACTCCCAGTTGTGAGACTCCCAGTTATGAGACAGTGGAGTCGGTAATTAACAACGAAAACACACCATACTCCCCTGTCTGATAGAATGGATTCACCCTAGCTAATTACTGATTTGCTATGTAACTGAATCTTGTGGAGGTAACTTAATGAAACTTTATAAGATAAATTGATTAACATACTCAGGTAAATGTCTTTAATAATTAAACACTTTGTGTAGGTAACTTCGTGATCAAAGAGAAATTAATTTACCTACTCAGATTTACTCCGTCTCCGAAACTACAAGCTATAGTTTAAGAAATAACTCTGAAATAACTCTTAAATTTACAGTCGAAGTGCCCCTTATGCCAAACCCTTTCTACCCGACACAATAAATTTATGGAATGCCCTACCTATTTCCAAAGAGTCATGCGGTCTCAAAGAATTTTAAAACCTAATTAATAAAACCGAAAACAAAATTTATATTGATCTTAATAATGGCTCTTGTTTTTGTCAAATCGTTCACTGCCTGTGGGTACTGGGCTGGGCTGATCCCACTTTCATTGTAGGGATGTGGAAACACCACCTTTGTGCACTGAACCATTAATTAATGTGTCTCACAAGTGGGAGTTCTCACAAATGGGAGGACACCACTTTGACTATGTGTCCCAGTCCACCCAGCTGTGATTGGGTACCTCGTAAGGATGGGAAAGCCACACTAACTCGGTGCACCTTGTGGCAGCAAGTGTATGCTCCCCAGGGAGTTGAGATAGATAATAAGATGTGCCGTTGAGAGTGACATCCAATGATCAAGGGGAAAAAAATACCAGCGCCTTGAGCATGCACTAGTGCATGGATATGTGCGCTACATAAATATCCAATAATAATAATGGTTTTGAACTTTATTGCTGTCCTTTAAAATACAAGTCTGGGGTCTTCTTTCAAAACTCATTTGACTGATTTGGAGGTTAAAGGTCAAGGCTGCAAGCTTTACAAGGACAAGTGGAATCATTAGACAGATATTTACACAGGTTTGGGAGAGTGGCTCCATTAAATGCTTAACAGGGAGCAACACAACATCTAGGCACTTAGTATGTTTTTTTGCCACAACCTGGATTAACATAAACCATCAATGTTCCCAGGTGAAATAGTTTCTGGAGGAAAGAATATTGTATATGTAAGAAAATATTCCAGAAACTGCATGCAGAAATAATTTTTTACTGAGAATATTACTTCCAAAGATTTTCCCAAATGGAACATATATTCTATTACACTATCACTTTGTCCCTGTCCTTTGTACACAAAAACATTAATTGAAAGAGTTAGTGAGTGAGTTGGGTTTTACGCTGCTCTTAGCAATATTCCAGCAATATTATGGCGGGGACACATTGTACCCATGTGGGGAACTGAACCCGGGGCCTTTGGCGTGATGAGTGAACGCTTTAACCACTAGGCTAATCTACCACCCCTTAATTAAAAGAGACTATTAATTATGTTAAATATAATGCACACTTTGTGTGTTTTTTTGCTGTGTAATGCCACACTCAGCAGTAATCCAGCTATATGGTCACATTCTGTAAACAATCGAGTCTGGATCAGACAGTCCAGTGATTGACAGGAAGAGCTTTGATCTACGCAATTGGGATACGATGACATGTGTCAACCAAGTCAGCAAGCATAGATTGCTGAAGATCAGTTCTAACCTGGTTATTCACGGGCGATAATGCACAAATAATTGGACATTCGAAACTGGTGAATATCATAATGTACTGAATGCCCTGACAGGCATACCACCGAACTAAAACACAGCATCAAAAGAACGAAATACTGTAATCAGCTTCAAAGTAACAATGCATAAATGAATATATGAAAGTCAATTCAAAACAAATATGCATTTGTATTACACATGGAGTTTTAACTTTTTGTTTCAATATCCATCCTGCATTTGAACATGACCAGATGTTAACAGTGTAAATAGTCAATTCTGAGCACGTGTGATCATCACAGCCAGTACATAGATGATCATGCTTAGAATTAATGCATGAGCTTAAAATTAGCATTCCTGAAGGTAACTGAGTAAACTGTCAGTTTGGAACAACTTTAGCAGTCTTGTAATCTAGCAGGCACAGTATCTGACCAGACAAAGTAGGGGCTAGTTAGAAATGTTGACAGACTCGCATGAGGGACAAACATACAATGAGAGAGTGAGTGAGTTTAGTTTAGTTTTGGGCTGCTTTTATCAATATTCCAGCAATATCATGGCTGCGAACACCAGAAATGGGCTTCACACATTGTGCCATTATGGGGATTTGAACCTGGGTTTTCAACTTAACGAGTAAACGTTTTAACAACTAGTCTACCCCACTGCCCCAAAAAATACAATGTTTTCTGTTTGTTTCATTCTTGACGAGTCTATACGATTAGATAAACATATGAAGTCAAATGTTTAATTTTATTGAGAAAATATCCTGAATTGATAAAAACTCTTTCCATATGCATAGTTCGCCATCATTTACATTAGATATAAGGCTTGGTCAAACCCTGATGGAAGACTGGTGATACAGTCACTTTGTTGTGTAAGCGTGTATTGCCATGCACTGCAGTGTCGCAGTTGTATTGTGCTATGAATATAATTATGCGAAATAATACATAACGTACACTGAAAGGCTTGCATGAGGTCAGTCTACCCTGACTTCAGAATGAGCATGGTCATTTACAAACAATAGAGAAGTCAGCTCACGCAATATGAAAGTAATCAATATCCCCTGCAACGACAAAATACATAAATTATGGGATTTATTTGACGTACCGTGCTAGGTTATGACCTGCGACAAAAATGATTCATGCATATATTTTCGCATTAAACATCGTGTCCGAGCGTGAAGATTGAGGCGGCGATACCGATTCGTACGGGGAAAGGGTCCGACTTATACTTGAGTTACATGGTTTTGGCAAGAATTTAGAGGGTTGAGAAAGGGGCCCGACTTATAGTCGGATCCGACTTATAGTCGGTCATATACGGTACTCTTTATGAATATGTCTACTAGTTATGATTATATCAGGGCTCCAGATAATTTTTCAACATCAGCCGTACGTACTCCTT